TATTCTTCCATCTTTGGAAAGCTCAGCAAATCAGTTAAAACCTCCTCTTTGTGAGAGAGAAGACATTATGCAAAAGACCACTGAAGTTTAAACATATTAAGTAAATAGATTTTTCCTATGAATGACTGAAAAGAAAGATGTGATTTAGGCAACATCTGCATCCATCTCTAAATTCATATTGTAGATCAGGTCTTCAGTGACTATTATGATGGTACAGCTAAAAGTCATTGTAGGAACATTGATAACAACATAACAACAGTGAGAAAAGTTTTGTTTCATATACATTTAGCATCTGACATCTCCCCTTTGTTTGGGTATTAATCAGTAATTGACATATTTGAGCATCCTGCTACAGGAGGTGATTTGACTTTCACAAATTTCCCTAAGAGAAGAAACATCATCAGGAACAATTTCAAGGAAATAATTATGGTCTAGACAGATTTATGACTTCTAAAGACCTAATCCAAAGCACATTAATGTCAGTGGGAGCACTCCCATTGACATCAAAGGCCTTTGGACCAATCCCCAACTGCTGTGGGAATGAATTCAGAGCAATAATGACGGTGGACTAAATGTACACTTGCAGTTGAAATGTTACCACCCAGACCTTTTTATTCCTCAAATCAGATTAAAAAGTCATTTTCTGCTATTTCACAATTACTTCCAGATGCACATCATCTCAAATGGCATTTTCATCCATCTGTATGAACCAAACATGCACAGAGACAGAGAGGGTCTTCTACACTGCCTGAACTAATAACATAAATGAAGACCACAGGGGAAAATAACTTTGGAGGTGATGAACTTCATGTTTTAAATGCGAATGAGAAACCTCGGGCTTCTTTTATTCCTTCTAACTACATTGGGGTAGAGCTGCCAGGCCCACCACCTCTTTATTTACTGCCAAAGAACATTCCTTCTGATTCAAATTTAAATATTTTTCTCTAGTCCCCTGAACAAAACAAAAGAATACATGTAAATCAGTGTAACCCTCAAATCTGGCAACCTACAAACTGTCAGAAATGTCAACTTCATATACTGCTTAGTAACAGCTCTGCTGTCCCTTCTGTCCTCTTAAATGCCTATTTACATGCCAAATAAGTTGAAGCATCCCTCTTTTCTGACCATGTTAATCTAGTTTCATTCTCTTAGCAGCTGATAACTTTTTAGACTGCAAAATGAAATGCCATCATGTGCAAGTGAAAACCCATTCAAAGTTTCACACAGTCAGACTCAGCTCCAAGATGTGACTGATCAGTCATCAACATTGTGTTTTACTCAGAAGTGCATGGTATGAGAATCACACATCTTTTATTCATGCCTCTATCAATGCTTTGGTTGAGTTACCATGTATTCATTGTGCTATGAGCATGTTATGGACTGGCTGAACTCTGCGTTACCAAATTAGTTTTAGAACTTTCTTTAGGAAATCATACGTAACACTTTCTTTGTCAAATAATGCACATTTCTTAGCATAATTCCATCATCTTTCCACTCCTAATGAATATCTGACCTATTACATCAGTCTCTGTACCCTTTTCTGCACTTCAGAAAATAAGATTTTTTTTTATTTTTTTCTCCTTCTTCAGTTACTATGTGTGGGATAACAGATTATTAGTGGCTGGGTAATGCTCATAGCCAGATTCAAAAAATAATGAGGTAGAGAACAATTAACTGTTGGTTTGTTTGTGGGTTTGTTTTGTTATGGGTTTTTTTTGTTTGTTTGTTTTTTTTAATTGATGCTGATCACTTCTTACTAAGAAGATCTGAATTAAAAAGGTTCACAGCTCATACATTTTCTTGGCTATACATGTAATGGAAATGGTGCTTTAGATATGTTCTACCCACCACCTGTGTGACAAGGAGATATTTTTAACCTAGTTTTCTCAAGCATCAAAACTTATGTGAACAGACTGTGTGCAACTTTCATACCCTCTCACCAAATCTAATAACATGGGACCTCCTTGTCCAACCTGAGGAAGGGCAAAAGTCATAAAGTCATTAAATTCTTACAAGCTTTGTGGAAATAGGTGTCCAGATAAAGGGGTAATCCTATTATTACCTCAAATTAAGGCCATCAAAGAATCATTCTGGCATGCATACTTCAGCTGCAAGTACACAGGAACTGCTCAGGAGACTACTTTTTAACCTGGTGCTGTTCCAATATTTTCTTCCATGAAAAATTAACTCAATGTATTTTAATATACCAGACACTAGTAAGCCCCTCAGCTCACTCCAAAAACATTTGTTTCAAGAACACATCAAAAGCAGCAACATACTTCAGTCATGGTTTGGCACTATCTTTTAAATGAGTTCGTGCTTCAGTGCATTTTGTTATCAGAAGCGCACGAGAACACTGCACCTGGAATATATGGACTAAAAAAGTCTGAACGCTTCAATTTAGATTTGCTGACTTTCATTAGTTTGACACCAATAAACAAACTATGCCATCAGTTCTCAAAGGCAGGGAATGCGAACCCGTGGGAAGGGTACACGCAAAACCCTTATGTATTAAAATATATGTAAATTATTTTAATAGGAACTGCCCAAGAAAACAGAAAATTAGTCAGGGAAAGAACACATCTAAGAAAGTTAAATTATCAAGATTATAATTTCAGGGATATGAACATCTCCAGCACTAAACCATGGCATTACTACCATATTTTTTCCCATCTTTACATTTTATCAGTGTGAATATACAAAGTAAATTACACTAGATGTTTGAATGACATAAAATGAAAAAGTACCTTTGCTTGTAATACTGAACTTCACCACGAGGTAAATTTTGTCTTGCTTTTACACACACCTTTAATGTTATTTCCCCCTCCCCCAGCTTTTTATGATTTTTAATGCCTTTTCAAAATGTCCAAGGCAAAATTCATTGTGTCCAGCTGTAGGCTGCTTCAAGTCATGGGAAATGACACAGAACTACACACTGCTTTTATAACTGAATACAAAGTTTAGATAATTTGCTGGATTTTAAAAGGGTATGTTAGCTTTAATGGGGTGCATTAGGTGAGACAGTAATCTTTTCCCTATAAATATATTACAAATGTAACCTGATGTCTCCCAGGTCAGTGATTCAAAGCAAACTTACACACTATGAAAAAATATCAGCACAACCAGATGAACATATACCTACACAAATATATTAAGTATACTTTTCTTTAAGTACAACAAATCACGGTATTATTTTTACAATGAAAACACTGGAAGAAGTTTCAATGTCAACTTTTAAAACATGATTTAGAATACCAGTGTAACTCATTTGAGAGGTATGAATGAATGTGACTTTGAAGCGATGACGCCCTATTAAATGGGCATCTTTCTCATCAGAGCAAGAGAAAGCCTTTGCTCCCAATACTGCCCCCTCCCACATTTCACATCAATCGACTAAAATAAATTCAGAGAAAAGATTTTGGGTTTTACTTCCACATTCAAGGAATATAGTACTGATATATAAGGTGTTTACTTCAGGAAAACTTGTCCTTAGCCAGAGTGGCAAAGGCAATATTTATGTCATGATGGTAAGAAACTTGCTCATTTCCCCCTTCCTTCAGACTACAGTCACTGGGGTGAACGTGACTGTTACGGCAGCGGGAGGCATAAAAGCTACCATCAACAGGACTATTGCTCCTGTGAACATTGTTTTGAGATCAGTGGACAGAGTACAGTTAAGTAAAAACTAATTTCCCCGTAAGACAGGTAAATTCCTTCCCTGTTTTGTTCTTACTATCCAGAAAATTTATGATGACAGTTCACTGCTTTCCTCTTCCTCAGTCCTGCAATAATTTAGGTTATTTCTGAGCCTTTCAAGACTATCCCTTGACTCACATCCTAGCAATACATGCTTGTGATACATAAGTATTTCTTTATGCAAACGTATCTTAATTCAAACATTTATTCTTGCCAGGTAAACATAAGAAAGATAATGCTGATGTACTTTTCACAGAAGATTTAGCTCACAGTTTTAATTTCCTGTTTTTATTAGCTTACCTCACTTGATGAAAATATTAACATGTGTTGAGAAGTACATTTTATTTGCTGGTTTCTCAAGAAAACGCTTGGTTGCTACACCTCATTAGAGGCGTCAGCTTTTAATTGGAACAAGTTTTAAATTGAAAGAAGCGATTGATAAAATGGTGCTGATGTGCCACTACAGTACTTTAAATGCCTGCTTGCTCATATCTAAAGTTGTCCTTATGCTGAATATCAATATGCAATTATAAAAGACAATATAAGTAGTGCTGGGTTTCTGCAGAGTACTCTTTCAGCATTTGTAAAGTCCTTTCTTGTTTATGCTTCTGAGGTCTGTCAAAAAACTCTCATGTTGACACAATCAAGCAACCAGAATGAATGGCTATAAATACAGTCAAAGCAAGAGATAACAATAAGCAGAACAACTAAGTCCTCATTTGAAGATGAAACTGCAATTTTGAATGAGCAGTATGTGATTAACCCACTGCATGTGGGGTCAATATGATTTATTCTCACAGCTATGCATTGAGTCTTAGCCCTAGGCCTCACTTGCTATCAAAGACACAAGCCTTCCTCAAATCAACCCTCCCCTGTATCTAGGTAACATTCAGAGCTTGCTCGTAGGAACATTAACTACTGTGTCCTTCATTTAAATTATTTCCACCCACCCCAGCTTGGAAATAATTTTTAGCATAACAGACAGTTTAACCAAGTGTGCTCTCTATCATCCAATCCATCTATCTGCCGCCTGCAATGCTCCAGCAGCCTAAAAGCAGACCTTGAAAACCACAGATGGAGTAGAAAAAAACCAAAGGAGCGTGTATTTTGTCTAAATCATTAGTATTGCTAGAACAGTACTCTTTTGGCCCAAGACCAAAGACTATGAATCAGTAGCCAGTTACATTTTAAGACAATCAAGTGGCTCAAAATTGAGCAATAGTTATGGCTTTGGTTCAAATATTTAATAGAAATGCCACATTTCATTAAAAAAGCTACTTTGAGTGGAGGGACAAACCTCTTACCTTTGGTAGCTATTCGAACACACTGAGTTTTGGTTTCCTGTTGAGGAGCGAAAAGTAGAGAAAACAGTTAGATCAGGTTACTTTTTCTTGCCCTCCCTGCTCCATAAATTCATCTTAGCTCTGCTGATCAGCTGGGACAACTCAGCAAGGTGGCTCAGGGCTGTGGTCTTAGCAGGAGATGAGTCTGAGAGATCTTGCCTTAAAAAACTAAATGAAACTGAGACATTGGTCTCTATTATCCAGGATAACGATAGGAAGAAAAGGTGCAAGACAGCCCAAATGTAACAAAATTTCAGAGTATTAAAATCTAATGGAACTCATGCCATAAGAATAGAGAGAGAGGGTGCAGTGAAAGAAAAAAGGACTGGTACTTGTATTTATGTCATGGCATAGAAATCCCGAGCCAGTGTTGACCTCCAAGAGTACCATGCAGCAAAGAAGGTACACTTCTTCAGCTCTGTCTCCAAACTTGTCTTGCTGCATCCTGACAGTCTTGAACAGAGTCACATGAAGCACATTGAAACATGCTCCCTTATGCTTCTGAGTATGGAATGAGCACACAAGCAGTCCAGGTACTCCTTAACATATGACAAAGTTAGTCTATAACCTATATAACTTGCCCAGGAAAGACAGTGATTTGACAGTGATGTGCTTCAGAAGAAGTTGCACTTGCAAAGACAATTTATATTTATTCTACTTTCCCCCTCGTCCTTCAGAAGTTTAGTCACCAATTGAAATAAAGAAACAGAGAAATGACTTGGTTATGCACAGTTTGGACAACTTGAACAGATGAGGGTCAGTCACAAATGGGCTTTCTGACCTTTTTGTACAATGTGCAGTCATTTTAAAGGCAAACATACTGAAATAGCAAAAGGTTGAGTGAGTGGATGCAGCTGCTGTTGTATTAAATAACTCTAAACAATATTAGCATGTAATTAGAAAATATAATAATGACAGTTTCATTCTATAAAACATGCTCTCTCAGTCCTGCTGCCGGCAGCACTCCATCCCTGAATGCATCTCCTGGGATTCTCTCTCCTCTTGAAGATTGCCACATAACAGGCAAAATATGTTGGTGCTATTTTGCAAACACAGCTCATAAAGAACAAGCAAAGCTGCGAGCTGAGGCTTCCCATAAGTGTTCCATAAAGACAATTTTTCAACCTAAATGAAAGCCCAGCAAATTTTATCAAAATACTCTTACCTAATTAGCACTCTTCCCAATTACTGGATTTACTTGTCCACTTTTGTCCAAAATGTCTGTGAAGATCACAGCATAACCCTCATCACAACCCTACAGCATATTTCAGAGCATAATTTACTTCCCCTTGATGATTTTCATGCTCCCACCAGTTTATAGTAAAGCAACTGTTTAAACATTCAGCAGCTTAGAGGTTATCTTACAATAACTAGAACTCTGTCCTGGAAGAATGCAGTGCAAAGCCCCTTAAACTTCCTCCCACATCCCTTTAGGAACAGAAATCTGATCCAAAGTTTTAAACCATACCAGAGAAAAACATTTTAGAATTAAGCTCACTCACAAACTGAAATCAAATTAAAGTAAAAAATTGTATGTTCTTCCCCTATCTCCTACTTATCTGTCAAAACGTAAAAGCCAAAATAAAGATCTATTTTTGTATTTAGTATTTTTATTTTACTCTTCACTCTCATTTATTTCTTGAGGAATGAAGCAAATTCCCTTACAATTTAGTCTGCCGGAAGCCAACAAAAGTAAAGGGAATTATTTGTAGCAAGTGAGGGAAATATAGATGAGTATCTAGCAGTTACCTTTTATTTTGCTTTCTTTGCTTCATACAGGTCTATAGGTAAGAATTATAAAGAAGGTATGGTCTCTTCTGTCAGAAAAAAGCATCCAGTTCTCAAGCAGCTCCAGTGCAGTTTAATTATCTCCTGCTTTGTCCCCATTCGACTTGATGCATATGCAATTTTCATAACCATAGGTAGAAGGTGAGATTTTCTTCAAAAGACTCCAAGGCAAGGCTGCCTGTTAGCCAGCATTTGTTTAATCCCTGCTGAGACCCAAATGTAAGGAAGGGTAAACATAGCTGCTTTTCCTTTCCGATGGGTCTGGTGCGAATAGCAGCTATCAGTCTGGCTGTCCTGTCTAGTTCCTTTCTGACCTGCTGGACACTTCATATAGAGATTCCTATGGACATATGACTGCAATTTCCTTCAGTTTTCTAAACTATAAATAAAAATTTCCCACAAGGGCGGTGTGAGACGTGAATGGCACGCTGCCACGCTGTCACAGCATGGAAGGGATTACAGCCATACCACTGCCAATGCCTTCTACATGCAACTTCAACAGTCCTCTAACTGTCACCATGGGCGTGCCTTTGACTCTTTGCAGGAGAAAGGTTTGGTTGGCACTTACCTTCTCGACGCTGCTCATGGCCTGGAAATAGATGTTGTAGCCTTTCCGAGGAGCCAGCGGCGGGTTCCAGAAGCCCTGGTAAGTCCTGTTGTCACCCACGGTAAAAGGGACTGGCTCTGGCAGGTTTCCAGGGGGCAGCTCAGCAGCAAAGTAATACGGTGACCCTCCGCTAAGAGCAGTCTGATAGGTGACGGGGATTTGGTAGCACTCCATGGCACCCGTTTCTCGCTTTGTTCGGTGCGGGTGCAGTTCCTCAACAACAATCTGGTAGGCACTGGTGAGACAGAGGAAAACCAGCATAACTTTAAGGTCACTTGCTAGGGTCAAATCTATAGTCTCCTAAAAATATTAACCCAATTGCTTTCTGTAAACTTAAAAAGAAAATGAAGAAAAAAGGAAAAGACAGCAAATGCATGGATGCAGAGAAGAAACAATGGCTTGAAATATAACAGAGTTATTTAATTCAGCCATTGTAAAGAAGCAAAATTCTTTTTTTTTTTTCCCCAGGAGAAACAACAATGCAAATCCATACAACAACAATAATCCTCCTAACAACAATATCTTTTTTTTTTTTTTTTTAATTGAAGAAACCCAGTAATGAATCTGATTTTAATCTACAATAGATTAAATTCTTGGCTAATCGGAAGCATCTGAAGTTAGCATCTTCTTTTGAAACGATATTAGAGAAAGCTGAGCTTCAAGGCCCAACGTAATGACTGCCTCCAGGTTGTGCTTGAAGCACCAATTTGCAGTTGTCATATCATTAGATACAGAATGTGCTGACAGGCTTCTCCACCTCTTGACCTTGCTGTGGCTTCTATCCTGGCTCAGAGCTATGCAGATCTAAAGTACAAGTGACATGCTGTAATACAAGCACAGATGGACAGAAATCTGTCCATTTCACCAAAATAGACTGCCTCATTCCCCTACAGTTGTCAATGATAAAATGTTACAAATTGCTGAAGCAGACAGCATTTGGCCTATTAAAATGCCATCCCAAACTCCCAATACCTCTCTTGTAATGGTCCATGGCTTGGTCACTTTTCAAAATCACCTGCTCAAAATAGGACAGGTAATTATAATTAATCTTTTTCTTTAGGGAAACTACCTAACTGCAGGTTGTTACCAACTCATTATCAGCTTCCTCTGCTGTGCAGAAGTACAGAACTTACATATTGAGAGCAAGAGGCAATTCTTCAGTTTATAAAAAGGAAAAAGGAGAGAAAAAAAGAGGGGTTTGGGTTTTATGAACTATATGTCCACATACGCACATATGTGTATACATGCAAACAATTTCTCACTTATATGCAGATACATTTGAGGACCTTATGAAAGATTAATAAGAAAATATGCCTCAGCATGTAGACAAGACCTGAAGCTATTCAATTAAGCCATCGGAATTGCCTGTCTCGGTGTTTTTTAAAGCTGTCTAAACAAAAAAAGTAAAATTGAACAGAGTTCTCGTAGTGCCAGTGCATTGCTGCAGGGACTCCAAAAGGCATAGGCAAACACAATCCTCCTTCTTTCAGAACTTATGGGGCAGCATTAAATTATTTTGTCAATTTTCTTTGCTAGTACTGCCCAGAAAACCCAATAACTGTAGTGGCAGAGATGAAGTATGATACTGGGGAATGGAAGAGAGAAGAAAAAATAAGAAATTAGTTTCATGTCTTTCTTGAGCTGAAAGAAGAAGTTAGCATTCCCTTTTCCTAGCACCTAAAACATTAAGGAGGAAAGCCTCTTTCTTCCCTTTCAAAGTGTCCAAAAAGAATATACAAGGTCATCTCATTTTTGAAACTCCAGGTAAAAAGAAGATAAACAAAAAAAAAAAAAAAATGACGAATAAGTTCCATGGATCTCTGTTTCTCATAAACCGTCTGTGAACTAAGCCTGGTTATAAATCACCTATTGTGGTAAACTCTATGTTTTAACCATGCCCAGCTAATGTGGCCTCCACCACAAATCACTTCCACAAGACCCCTGAACACCCAGAATATTTCTTTGTGCTTCAAAATTAATGTACTAGGAAAACCCCCTAAAAGCATCGATATTTCACAAACTTGTCAGGATATAAAATATTAAAAATAATTTTTGTTTACAACATCCAAAGGGAAGAAATGACTACTGGCGTTGTCATTCCGTCCCTGGCCTAGTTCTGGACCCAGGCAGGATTAAAACCACCACTCCCAAACTGGGCAGCCAACCAACTGGAGAGTCCTGGGAACACAAACATTGTGTCTCTGCTCCCTCCATTCTGCAGTCTTCTCTCATGAGCTGCCAAAGGACTGGGACAGGCACAAATTCTGTTCTCTGAAGTGCCAGGAGAGCAGGAAACTTGTCATCTGTGACACCTGCCAACTTCAGAGGAGAAAGCCAGCCAGGAAAGCAGAAGGACAGACAATGCCTGCACATGACAGAGGCAACCGTCCCCTGGAACAACCCAGTTTGTCACACAGTTCAGAAGCAGAGCTCCACCACAGCTGCCAAATTAAACAACACCCTCTCCACCCTTCCCTCCTCCCCACCACATTTTATAGAATAAGGGGTAAATGAGGTATCTTTTCTTTAAGGGTCAAGTCTCTTTGGAGACAAAAACAAATTAAAAATCAAAGATGAAGGGCACGAGTGCTGCGTATTAGGAAAGTCTCTTGTAATAGCATTCTCTAAAAACACGCAACAGTTTTTCAATGTGATAGAACAGGTATTGCAAAATTATAAGCATGAAATGATAAAATGTGAAGGTTCGGAAAAACTTTCAAATGAAAGCAATTTACATAAAATGTTTCAAAAAATAATGCTTTTTAGGTTCCTATGTCTGAAAAGCTACAAAATGTGTAAAATAAGAAGCAGATATACACATTGTAGGCTTCTGCATTTATACAGTTACTTTTAGTTAACACAGTCTTACAGTCTTTAGAGTCTCCATAAAGTCTTCAAGACTTTAATTTTTTGGGGGTGTTTTTTGTTGTTCGTTGAATTTTATTTTTATTTGTTTGGTTTTCTTGTTTGTTCTTTTTTTATTATTATTATTTTGACAAAATATTTTTTTTAAATAAAAGCTGTGCCTATCCTTGTGGGAAAGGGGATCTGGCTGTATTTTTCATGCAACATTATAGACTAACAAGACATGGAGGAATACAGTCATTTACCTCTGGGCCCTTTGTGATACCATCTGTTTAAACCCATTTACTAAGTGCTATAGTGGCCCCAAAGCAGCACTGTTACTCTATGTACTCATAACAGTGTTCAGGAAGGACACCCTGCTGTAAGATGTGAAGAGAGAAGCTAAAGTTAAATTTGCAACTTCAAAAGCGGGGTATTCACTGACTGCAAATGTGGTCTTATATTAGGCTATACGTGAAAGTTTAAAGGCTATGTACTCTCCTTTTTTACATATTAATAATTCTAGCTTCAATGATCTTACATTTTCTACACATTTTTTGTATAATGGTGGGAATTCAATTATTGAGAAAGCTCTCTTGTGACTGGTACTGGGGGAATTCCTACAATAGCAGTTTTTTTCTGGTCTTCCCATACATCAAGGAAAGAATAAGAGAGAGAAATAAAGAGGGAGGAGGGAAAAACCTAGATGACAATATTCATTCTCCCTGGTGACTAAAATAAATTCTAAGCTATTCTGAAGAGTAATACAAATTTCAAAACCTGCTACATAAGTTATTGGGATCATAAAGGCCAAACAGTCATCTAAGACAGCCACGTATGCAGAGAAAGACACAGTATGTAAAGAGCTCCTCAGCTGGGATTTTGCATGAAGAAATTATTTTTCGTGTTAAAACCAACCCTTTTTTTTTTTTCCTTTTCTTTTACTCAAGAAAAGCTGCAGCGTACCTCCTTATTGACCAAGACCATTATAGACAGCTGAAGGAAGCCCCTTCCAACAGCCCCTTCCTTTTCACCCCCTGTTAAAAATTCAGGCTCTCAAAGGGGTATGGCAGTGAAAATGTTGTTCATACTTCAGCCCTATTGGTGACAAAGCATCTTCTCCTTTGGCAGGTACCAGACTGAATGAAAGCCTGAGTTACAACCCCAGCTCTTGGAATCCTGACTGACAACTTTAGTTGCTTCCTGCCATGGTCCACTGAATTAGTCTTGTTGCAAAATGAAAACAACCTGATTTTGCATATTGAGGTGTAAGAAAAAAAACACTTTACTAATCAAATAAAATTAATTTAATAATTAAAAAGTTGTCTATCTTGATTCTGATATACACCGTTTGTAATCTTCATCTGTAGTAGGATTTGAAAACAAATGATTGCTTTTCTGGTGCTCAGTTAGAATCCTTCAGAAGAACTACAGTGACAAATCACATCTTCAAATGAATCAGTGAAGCACCATTGATTCTACTGACTGGGATCTCATCTGCAAGATTGATGGTGAAACAGTATGTGCTTCAGAGTGAGCCTGAGCCATCCAGCCCCGTCTCCCTTTGCATTTCTAGTTTGTAATTTGGTTTAAAACTTCAGGAGGCCATAAAGAATGCTGGAGATTACACGATAACACTTGACAGGGAAGATATGATTAGAGTCGTGTTTGAACTGTGATGACTATGGCATCTAGTGTCTTAAAGAAATGACTGACAGCTGCATATAGATTACACTTGAGTTAAGGAACATCTGTTTCCTGAGGGGCTGTGCTGATGGAGAGGCTGAGGTACAACAAAATCTGATCATAGTATTCTGTTTGTCAAAGCAAAAAGTATCAGACTAAGCTTTTTTAATTATTATTATTATTTAGGGTTTTTTTTTAAACATGGACATACTGCTATTACATAAAATGATCTTTTGACCATCTACAGTTCCAGGGGTTAGAGCACTGGATGCAAACAAACCTTTTCAAAAAGCCAACTGTATTCTTCAGTGTCAGGCTGAAGAACAGCATTTGAGTCCCTTCTACTCAATCCCAGCTGCAGGCATGGTGATGCATTTTTTCCTACCTACCTACTAACACTCATTATGGCAGCAAGCCAGCTTGTAGTGGAAACACAACCACAGTGTGGATGGAGTAAAGCTTCACTAAAATGCATCATAAAGTTTAGTGAAATGCATTGAATCAATTCAGAATTACAGTGTGCTACATTTATCTTCCCTATTGAGAAGCTGCTGAAAAATACCTGACTGCAACATGCATAACTTTAGGAAAGGGAATGAGACCATGCCTTCTGCATTTCCCTGGAGAATGCTTCTTATTCCAAGCAAGGAATAAAACACCTGGTTTGCTTTAAGAAAAAAAAAAACAAACACCCAGCTCTCCGGTTATGGTGAAGGACTATTTCCTTTGCCTTTTGATGTTAGAAATTTAACGTAATCTCTTAGGTTTTAGAAATTAATTAAAGTGGAGAGAGAAGATGGGAGACAGGAATAAAGATGCATGCTTTTTTGAGAACATACGCAAACAACAGTTATTAATACTCTATCAAACTATCTATTAACATTTAGTACATAGATCCTTTTTGCCACCTTCATAAGTGCTGTAGCTCATGCCATAGTACTGAGAATGCAGTGAGGAAAACTGAGAGAATATATGTGAGGTGGTGTGCTGCAGGTTTACTCTGCAGGGAGTTACCTGCCTGCCAGTACAGTGCAGAGAAACCAGAGCTCCCCAAGCTAGGTACGAGTAATCCTCTAGGCACATCCCATCATGTTACTGGTTCACAAAAGAAACCCCCAGGAAGGAAAAGAAAAGTGGGTTGTGAGACTGATCCCCCTCAAGGTGAGTGGTGGGACAGAAGGTGGGTGTCTGCTGCTGTCTGCATAAAAATGCTACACACTAATTGCTGTAAAGAAGATGTTCACCACTGTCAGCAGATCCCCATGGAGTCTGGCAGGCATGCTCTGGGCAAGTCTATGCATCAGCCTTCTCAGGAGACCACGTACAAGACTGAAAGGATTAGATAAGAGACAGATACCTCATTTCTCAAATAGGGACAGCTTTGGATATGGCCAGCAGCAGGACACCTGGAAGGCTTTAAAAGCACCTACAAAGGTGTGTAGTGAGTTTAAGCACTTGTATGACTTGGGAGCCTTTTCAGATCATGGGACTGATTTCTACTGTATCAATTCAACAAAACCCCGATTTTAGGAATCCAAGTTCTGTACTGGATGTAGTCCTGTCCATTTTATCATTCCTCACACCCCAGAAAATCCTAGGTTCAGTCCAGGTCAGTCTTTCAGAAACTGTGTAGTTCAGAAATGTATGGGGTTACTATTTATGAATATAAAACACACCAGTATCTCCTATAAAAGGGATGGCTCCAGATTACCTTCTATGACAGAATATAAATAAATAACTTGAGCATATCTATCAGAAGGGTGACTATATGATAAGCATATAAAAATGCTTGTAGGTACTCATCCCTACAACATCCATGTTAAACATGCATTTCTTTTAATGGAAACAGACGTAAGAAATAGCTTATTTTCCTATTAGGGAATATTAGGGCTCAGGCACATTACTCGACATCAGCTGAGCCACAGTAACCGACTTAATGTAACACAGAATGAAATGCATTAGCTCGCATTTCTCTAAAATGTCACAAGGGTAAGAGCATGAAAAGGTTCTGATGCTCAGTAGCTAATTAACCTCCAATTAGTCAACCCTGTCCCTGAATATTGCTGATGCAGCCACATCAGTAAAACACAAATGGAACCAAATAATATCACAAAATTTCTGCACTAACAAGTAGAAGTAAAGAGCAGGATGTGGACTAATCTTTGCAAACAGAATTAAATTATCTCTCAATAGAGTGCAGAAAGGGAAAGACCCCTCAAAGTTAACATAAATGAAACATTTTAATATGATTATAGGACATGGCAAATAAAATTTAATAGCTTGCTACATGATTTCTAGTAAGAAGCACTCTGAGAGGAGAAAGGTCAAATAGTTTGTATTCATCACTATTATTCTCTCATTTCCTCTGAGCTTCCAATTTTCCAATCATACATATATGCTATAGAATAGTTGATGTGAAGCACTGGAGAGGAAGTGTTATTTTCAAATCCACTTTCTGACAAACACCTTTCAACCTCATATTTCAGAGACACTGTGAGAAAGTAAAATGAAATGATAATGGATAGGAGATTGGTCCTGGGGACCTTAAATCAAACAGGACAGACAGCTGGATGATTCAGGTCATGACTATTGAAAAAAAAAAAAAAAAGTCTTTTTCATTACAGATCTATTGGCAAGCTCAGTCTAGCTAAGAAAAACAACAGTAATGTCAAATGAATGTCACTTGGAAATGAACAGCTCTATCAGCTTCAATACAGCATATAATTAACAAAAAAAAAAATCTTGATTATTTGGGGGTTTTTAATTTCTTTTTTTTTTTTTTTTTTTACCTGATGGGTGCACCTTTGGCCTGTGCTGGTCTCAAGAGTACAGTTATTGTAGTAGCGGTTTCATTGAGAGATGCATCGATGCCTTCGTAGTCTGGTAAAGTGGGAGCTGATTAATGTTGAATGGGAAGGAAAAGAATGAGAAACAAGTCAGTGAAAGCATTTTGAATTTTCATGAGATTATGTCTGTTTGCAATATAGTACAAAGCCACAATCTTCACCAGCCACGAGACTTTTTTTAATGATTTTCCAGTCAGGTTCAATCTTTTACTACAGCACGAATGGGGACTTCACTGATAATCAATAGCCCCAGCCCTTACTGCTCCCCCTCAAATCATGGTACCTATCAAGGCAAACAGGTTTATTCAAGGATAGAAATAGAGGGAGGAGGTGACTGCCAAGAAACCCTAAGACTACAGAAGCTCATTTTGGCTTCACTCTTTCTACCTGACAAAGAACTATAATCACCATCTTGAAGATCCAACCTCTGACACCTCTTTTTCCTCCTCCAACAATTCAAGAACCTTTTACATTTCCTTTTACAGGCCATAGGAGACTATGTCAATACCAACCCAAGTAAGGGAAAACTGAGCTTGGATAGACATGCCTCTGTGGACTAGAACTGTATGAAGGAGTCTATTCCCATGCCCATTTACCCATCCATTTCTAACAACGGATGGCCAAGATGCTTATTAATCAGCTTCTGTACCACTGCATTCTTCATCCCAGCATATTAAGAAAAAACAAGATCAAAGTCAAAACTAGAAGCAGTTCAGGAACTGATTGATTAATGACCTGGCTGTCAGGTCTTCAGGGCAGCAACCCCCATGCTGTGGGTTGGGTGGCTGGTGTTGGTGATTACTTCAACCATCCAACTTTATTCTGCTGCCACAAACCTGTTACAGTCCTTACTGGTAATATTGTTGCTGACTCCAGCTCTAGCACCAGCAAAGAAAGAGGTTTTTCTGTGATTCAGAAAGTAATAGATTTATACTAATTACTGATCTTTAAGAAGCTTGAAAACTATCTACAAGGGTTTGTTGTTTTTTTTTAATATCTGGCTGTATCTTTCATAAAATTGTTAATGATGCCCGTATATTTCAAAATTAATTTTCACAAAAAAGATGCTTCCTAGCAGGATATCAATCATATCAGTCATAATAATTTTACAATAATATATCAATAGATAGAAGAGCACCAGAGATTGAAAACTTTGCTTCATCAGTCCCAGATCTGAGATGAACATAAATATTACTCATATCAGGAAATATTATTTTCTAGAAACAATGTTCATTTATGAATTACTGTTTATACCATGTTCACTAGGATCACAGCAACTACTTGTAAGCTTGCTTAAAATGAGTAATTTCACTCCTCATTAAAATAAAGCTAGCATTTCCTGTAACACATTGCTACATAAAATGTATCAGCTACGCAGAGTGAAACTAGACAACAGTTCAGTATAAAGCAACCCAGGCTGAAATTCAGATAGAAAGGGTGTCATAACCTGCATTTAAGATTTCCTAGTATTAATCATGTTTTGCCAACTAACAGGCCCATACCATGTCTAGAAAGTGTGGTTGACTGGATTCTGGACAAAATTCCCAAAATTTCTGAGTGGAAAACAATCCAAACATGTTAAGGTGCTTATTTCTCAAAATACTGAAATGTCCAGGGGAGAGACACGCTAGCCAGCTATTTACATAGTTAAACCTTTCTTTTTTGTTTTTTCTCCCCTCCTACAAAATGGTTAGAAGACAAGTATGCAAGTACTACACCACCATTATCCATGAAAATTTATGAACCAGGATTTACTGTGAAGAAACACAAGGACCACAAAGTAACCTGGGTGAAATATTAGACTTCAAAATAACCTAATAGCTAGACGAACAGAAAAGAACACATTGTTTGATTATCTTTTTTGGTGGTTTGGTTGTTGCAGGTTTCTTTTTAAGGAGTTGGGGTATGAGGAGTGCTAGTGCTTATGTGCTGGAATGGAATTCAACAAATTGTTCCATTTAACTATGACAACTACAGCCTTTCACTTGCTACATAATTCAAGGAGTCTGATTTTTCTCACATTTTCATTTATGCACATGTTTTTGGGAACTGAGTGAGGAGACTAGGTTAGTAGTTTCCCATAGAAATGGTAGGTGCAATCCAATACATTATTAACTCCACTTTATAGGACAATATAAGTTTCATTATGGCAGATATTAAGGAAAATAGCCTGCTTTGTGCTGTTTAAATTTTTAAATCACTGAATTCTTCGATCTCTGCCAAGCTCTGAAGTTATCATGTCATAAAATCAACTGTCTCTTTAGATATAACATTGACTTATCTTCTGCTATCAACTTCATAAGTGACTTTCTTTTTTGAGAATACTGAAATTAAAAAAAAAAAAAAAGCTAAAGCATGGCATTTGACATTACTTTCTTCTAGAGCTTGCAGTGTGGTATTCAGACAAACAGTGCCAATCTTGGTGCACTGCGGTAAGTGAATAAAGGCACGAGGAAGCAGACCTATATGAATCTGGCAAAAGAAAATTCACACTTCCTCCTAACCGCCCCAATTCTGTTATAGCTGCGTGCTGCTAAGTGGTTTCACCTTGAGTAAGTCAGCATCTGACTTTACTAATCTGCAAAACAAATACAGTACTTAGTGACCTATGGAGTGCTGTAAGGCTTAATTAGTTAAGGTTTGTACAGCACTTCATAATCTTTAGATGAATGTAGAAGATTACACAAAATCAGTTAACCACTACAGGTGTGCAATTTTCATGTCATGCAAGGATTTATCCCTGAACTTATGCTATTCTGGAAAATACGCTCAAAAACGTGTTCAGTTCTATAGTTTCACAACATGATAGAATTTTTAGGGGCTTTCTTTCCCATTTCATGATTTTTCCAGTCTTACCAAAAAAAAAACCAACAAACCACCATACCCAAAAAAACCCCAAATTTCAAAAACATTACCTTTTTTTCCTGCTCTTGTTTTTGTTTTTACCTGAGATGTTAGTTGTCACATTGATTGTGGTTGCTGGTCCAAACCCTTTGACAGTGCTTGCACGTATAAAGAACTGGTAAGTAGTACCAGGATGCAAGTGTGAGAAGACGTGGTGAGTGCTGTTCCACAGCTTCGACACAGTTTGCGGAGGTCCTGCAACTGGAACTGCAGGATCAAATGACCGTATACTGCTATAGCTGACCTGTGAAAACAATTAGTTTTCTAACAATTGTTACAGGTTTTGGTGCAAGTGGATTAGGCTAGCTTAGCTGGAAAGGAAACAAAAGACACATGCTTATCTAACTACCCAGTTATCTTGGGGACAGCATGGGGACTTGCAGAGTCTGCTTCACTTGAAAGGCTATGCAGGTGCCCTTCATCTCTCTTTCTTCGTGATTTTAGTTCATGTATGTGAAATTTCACTGTTACATCGAAGTTAAGACACCCCCGCCATCCTGCCCATCTCAACTAAACCCCTTTATTTGTCTTTTAATACACTTCCCTCTCCTCTTCTAATAATCACATTTAAATGCTGTCCAAACCAAGCTAATATATTTAAATTCAGCAGTGATATCTTAATGTACTGGTTTTGACTGGGACAGATTTAATTTTCTTCCTAGCAGCTTGTAAGGTGCTGTTTTTGGATGTGATTAAAACACAAAAGCTTGTACTTTTGCCCTTACGATTCTCGCCCCATCCCACTGTGGAGGAGTGAACGAGCAGCTGAGTGGGCTGAGCTGCCCACCAGGGTTAACCCACACTATTTAAGGAACTGTGTTAGCATTAAATAGATAAACAGATCTGAGGGGTTTTGTTTGGTTAGTTTCTCTTCTTCCTGTAATTCATTACTACACAAAATTTTGTCCTCTGGTCCTTTAAAAATGTGGTGCTGAAGAGGATGGTCTTTGTTCCTCAAATCAGCTGTGTTTCCTGCCAACCTCCTGTGGAGGTCCCCAGAAGGCTCATGTACTAAATACACTTTAAACAGAGTATATATGGAGGTTTCCTTGCAGGGTGATACCTAAAGATTTGACAAAGCTAAAAAAACATTGCTCCAAATAGATATAATAACCATCTTGCTTTTCATGTAACCTTCTTTTCCAACAAAGAAGATTTCACAGATCACGGCTGTCATGGCTCTGGAGGACTATATAGTAATAATACAAGATTTTAAAAACTAGCACCTTCCACGTGGATTGTAATATTGTTACAGTCACATGCCAAAGCCACTTGACAGGGACAGCCAGGCCACAACAAATGCACAGCAATTATGATTTCTGAGTATCTAATCACTACACAAAATCCCATAAATCTGTAAATGGAAGCAGCATATAATCGAATAGCTGCCTACAGAGCACAAACACCCACCGTCAGCCACCTCTCTTACTGCTCTTTCCTAGCCCCATCCAATGCTTGGTAGCTGTTTAATGATTACCTCGTACTGAGTAATGATGCCATTTGGATCCACAGGTTCCTTCCAGTTGAGGAAGATCTTATCTTCAAAAGGAGTTCCCTTCACTGACTTAGCAGGTATAGGGCCTGGCACTACAAACAAAATAAAATTTTTAAAAATAGGAAATTCAAGAGACAGAAAAATTAAAGAGATGACAGAACATCCTATTAAAAACAACAGTGAGCACAGGTCTATTTTTATTAATATTCATTCACATGCAAAAGGCAGTGGTAGGGAGTATGAAAAAGCACTTCAAAGTGGATTTTGTCATTTGCAGTGCAGAGAGAGCATGAAGTTGAAACATTATCCCCACATACGGTTTTCAAAACTTCATGCAAAGTCAAATTGTCTCCTCGTATAGCCGGGGGTAACAGTTCAAGAGAGATTGTGACTTCAGGGAACGTCACTGAATTCTGTAATGAGCGTATCTTAGGACAAGGACTACATGGTTTTAAAATCCTTTTAAAAAGAAAAATCAAAGGCAAGGAAGTGCCTCTGTTATACAGCATCTTCCAAACAAGAGAGCTGCTTACAAAATAGTTTTCAGTCACCTCTTCTTATGATTTGTTGTTTTAAAAGAAAACCTGGTTTAAAGAGGGGGCTGGGCACAGGGCAAGCACATCAGCTCAGCTGCCACTTCTTTCAGCCACTGACATACTTGTGCTGCAGAAGGACCAAAACTGCTTACTTCAAATCTTTCTAACAAGAGGCATTTTCAAAGCTTTGAACTGAACCACACTAAGATGACCCCACGTTCTTACTTTAAATGGAACCAATATCCCTGGTGTAATAACAAGTCTGAAGTGTCACCTCGGGCTTCTCTGCCCGAGTGATTTACAGGAGCTGGTAATCCCATCAGCACCAGGCAGGAGCGCCTAGTTATCTCTCATTTGAGCTTACAAGATATTTTTGCCTACACATATGGTTCCTTTTTAACCACAGCAGCTCACCTAGATTTGAACACATAATGCTGAAAGAAGGTGATGAGGGTAAAAGAGCAACTAAAAGAACCCTGAACCTGAAGAAAAACTCTCCCCCGCCTCAAAAAGCCAGCGTTGCCCAAATCTGCAGTCCTTCCAGCTAAAATGTTACTTCCATTAAGTTATTGACATATATTTCTCTCCTCGCCTTAATTGGCCTATTTTCTTCAATGCAACTGTCAGTGAGCCTCACACATGACATTTATTGGGTATTAATTATCAAAGCAGTCTGAAGTTTTACACAGAGCAAAAATAAATTAAAACCCGCTGGATCAAAGGAAGCACCAGGCACTGTGCTAGCAGCACCAGGGAGTGAGTGGTCTGTCCCAACAGTGGGATTTATTTCAGTCTACACAGAAGCTATAAATGATGATCTGACCCTTGGTGCAAACAACATAATTTGGCACATTAATAATAAATTCGTGGAGTCAAAAAAGCCCACGAGTAAACAGATGAGAGCTTCACAGAAACTGTTCATCCATCTGCCAGAGGAAAACTTAGGAAAAGTTAACTAAAGTCATACGCTGCTGCTTTGCTTCAGCGTTCCAATACAGACTGGGCAGTGGATGAAGGCTGACACGCCATGACAGCCCTTGTGTGCTGTTTGTGGCATCGAGAGACTTCCTGTAGGCAACATTTTGTTTTTCATGGGAATGCTATACTGTTTTTCTTGTTTATATGTCAGAGGAGGTATGAACGTACTCTGATGCACACATTTTCCCTGGAAGATGTGTGCATGTATGTGTGTGTGTATGTGTGCACACGCATGTGTATGTACATCTGTGTAGAAAACACAGGAATGCACCAGGGCATGTCCAGAGAATATGAAATGTGACATTAAAGCACATTAAAGCATGTGAGGTAAAATGAAACAGACAAATTGCTCAAAACCCTGAAAAAATACTTTTTGTGTGGTGCTTTTAAAGGATGTGTTTCATACTCAATTGAAACTCAGAGCAGTTGAAACTGGCTTTACATCTGAGGGTTGCATAAAGTCCCATACATTTTCTGTTTAAACATCCAAGTGGGAGAAGCCTCTAGGCTCATCACGTTGCATGAGTGTGTTTTCTTCTCCTGCAATATAAAATTTGATGCTTGTGGCAGTGGCAGCAATGTTAAACTGACTGGAACTACACAATCCCTGCTAGTTTCATGATCTTCTTCCCACCGGTATGGGAAGGGCACAAGAACAGAAGTTAGCACAGTGATGAGCAGCTTGCTGGCAATCACAGTAAAAATAAGGTCAGAAAGTAAAAGAGAGCAAGTGTCTAAAAAAAAAGAGAAGAGTGATTCCCCACAAACATCACCCACCCCTGCAAATTCACAAAAAATGAAGCTTGGGATCAGCTTAAATTATTCCAGAGCTCAACTGGAATTAAAACAAAGAAAGAAATAAAGGTTCAAATGCCTACAAAAAACAATATAAATTAATGAGTTTGAAGGACACGTTTTCATAGGTTTGAAGTTATTTTTGCCCTTCCATTTTTCAGTTCAACCACATCTTTTAATTGCAAAAGGGAGCAAAAGGAAATGAGGAAAGAGAAAAGCAGTAGCAAAGAAATTTGCATAAGTAACAGAGTATCTGTGAGCAGGCCCATAGATTCATCAGCCAGGTTAGCCAAAATAATGCCTGAATGTCCACATTTGTGGCTTTATGTCTTTGTTCTCAGGTCAGTATTAATTGCAAACAGAAGTTTAAAAAAAGCTCAAATTAGTAAAAAGACCCCAAACAAAGAACAACAGCAAGGTAACCTGTTGGTAACGCTACATGGAAGACAAACTGCATCTCTCTCCATGTAGGCAGCCATTGCTGTCTATTGGGGGGTTGGAACTAGATGATCTTAAGGTCCTTTCCAATCCTAACTATTCTATGATTCCATTCCCTATGACTCCCAGCAGGCCTCTAAGGACTTAAGAAAAAACCTTAAACTCCATCTCTCCAAAGTGGTGTTAAGATCCTTCCCTTTTATAAAGTATTTAGCAAGGACTCAGGTGAAAAAAACAGCCAGGTAAACATCATCCTTGAGCTGCTAATTGCTTTTGGAAACCTCTTCACAAACAGCCCAAAAGGCTTTCTTCAGACTTGCATCTCCAGAAGCCCCATCGCTCACCACAGTGCCTCTCTGCTGCCTTCTCAACTCCCATTCTTCTTCCTACGCAAGCTCTTGCTCTTCTCCTTGGACTTACGGACTCAAGACTATTTCAAGAGTATATTAAATTGAAGTACATGACTTAAGATTCCCTATCAAGCTACGTATCTGAATAACTGAAAAGTATAAGTAGCTGTTAGAGGAGTTGGACTCGGACCTTTTGGCCTCTGCACCTCCCGTTAAAAAGATTCTAGTCCCACTGATTTTCTTTCAATCTCCTGACCTCGTGAAGTGTGACCCCACCATCTCTCAGAGACAACAACAGTAAACACTCCTTCTTTCACACATATTATTCTATGATCAGCTTCTAACAAGTCAAGATTTACACTTATCTGAAGAAGTGAAATCATTTAGGTAGGTTTAACTATATGGGTTTCATAAGAGCCTGGGAGTTTTTGAACTTAAGCAAAGAAATAAACAAAATATTTTTCCCATAAAAAAAGTATACAAACATAAAATGCACATGTATACAAAAGGAATGTAAAAGAAATTCAAAGGGAATTCCAGCACAATTTTATAGTGGAAACATCACAAGCTCTTCTTTCAGGATTTACATGTATCTCCAGAGCCCTTTTAATGAAGCTATACATCAGTACAGTAAATAGCTGAAAATCTTTTCTTTACATACACGTGAGATGGACTTTTATAAATGCTATGCACAATAAAAGTACAAACCATCAATCTGATATCAGACTAATTCATTTTAGAGCAATATATTTGGATTAAATTATGTCACAGTCACAGATAAATTGTTATTCACAAGTAATATCACCTAAACCTTGTTCTATACTAACTTAACGAGAAATTTATATTACAATGCATTACTTATGGTAGAACAATGTATTAACTGACACCAACCACTAAGTATATGAACTTGTGTTGCTTCAGTTTTCCTGCTACAAAACTAAAGTACATGTAAGCAGAGTATTTTATTAATATTATACTCTGTGAAAGCCGTGCAGAGTATTATTATGCTATGTGGTTAAGGCTATGTGCAGATACATGCATGGTTACACTGCGAAAAATTCCTCTGTGGTAGTAAAAAAATAAAGTATACCAGCAGCAAACTTAAAGCTTTTCTCTGAAGGCAGATGTTCATTTTCAGGACCTGGTGAGAGTCAATCTCTTTTACTGTTTAACTCTTACAAGCAATTAAAATGGGCCACATTTCCATTGGCTTTTTCTGAGGGATTTACCATTTGAACTTTATGCTTTGTTACAACTCGAGACTAAGGCTCAAATAGGAGCAAATTTTACACAATAAAATAAGGGTAAATACCAGAATTATTATTACTAGTCTTTACTGTAAAAGCATTTTCATCAAAGATCGTGACAAAAATTACTTCGGAAATTTGCATTTGCAGCAAAGAACAAAGTGCTATTGAGAAGAAAACTGATTGCCTATTAATAGTCTCCTTTGGTGCACATGCCCTTTGGTTAATGATCTCTCTTCCTGGAGGAGCTGGGCTGGGCTGGGCACCCCAGGGGGCAATAGAGCAACAGGCCTGTGCCCACATCCCAGCATGGGTCTCATCAGGTAGCTGAGGCCACTGCTGGACTGCGCAGGCACTGACCTGCTCACACCTGTGATAGGTCCCCACTCCTTCCAGCCTATATAAAATTACTCATGTAACAAACAAACGCTCACAATCAAGCTACTAAATAAGCTGACAGAGGCTAATCAGTCTCAGTGGCAGTAGCAATCACTGTAGATACTGGTGCAAATATCAACTGGGGTAAAGTCCACAAGTTCTGCATTTGCTGAATTCAGGGTCCTATTTGTCTTTATACACCACATGCTGAGTCCAGAACTCCTCATTCCTGGGATTAGGAAATGTTTCTCCATGTCAGGGTGAAATAACCTCACATACTTCACAGCTTTCTCAAAATACGCAAATCAGTATTTGGAAAGTGCTTTCAGCTAGTTCATGGCTTTGGAATAACGGGAACTTGTGGGTCCAG